ATATATATACACATATATACATATATATACACATATATATACACACACATGTATATATATATATATACATATATACATATATATATATATATACACATATACATACAGTGATCCATCTATCGCAGTAGTTGCGTTCCAAGACTCACCACAAAATGGGAAAAATCGCAGACAATAGAGACAAGATAATTACTATATTATTTACGTATATATATTTACCCTTTACGAACCTGTTATCAACACCTCCCTACACAGTTATGTATACGAACAGTAGAGTTGTATAACGGCGACGCAGAGCGAGGTGAACGAGAGAGTGGCCGACAGACGAGGGAGACGCTAAAAGAGATGCTAGGATGCACGAGCCAATCAGCGTGAGGAACAGAGGAGTACACATAGTACGTTGTATACGATCTCATCTAAGTAAACAAAAAGCTACCAGCGATCGTCCGCAAACGCACTCATCTCAATTTCAAATCCAAACGTTTGTATATCGTATGTATATTTTGCGGGAATTCCGCGAGATCTAAATCCGCGATGTGCCGAGGGCGCGAAAGGAGAACCTAGGCGATGTAGAGAGGGTACGCTGTATATGCATGTATAATACAGTAGTAGTAGTAGTAGCACAAAGAGAACAAACCAGTACTCAGTGTCTGGTGTCTTTCTCGCCTTGAACTTTTATATAATATTTATATGCTAGATAAGGAATTAAGAACGTTCCGATAAGCAGTCCCTTACCAAGCACTGCACTTACTCGTTGACCCGTACATTCCTGCACACTGAATTGACGCATGGTTCTCCCAATATAACTCAGGCCATTGAAAGTAGACAGGATAATTATACGACGCTGCCCCTTACACAGACACCAATCATCTACACCCGGTGCGTCGATGAATGGAAAAGGGACCCATGTTTTCCGCAGTCGGGTTGCCTGTGGTGTTAGTGACACTCCATTAATCACACCCATTAAATAGACATTTGTTTAATATATTAATTTCTGAAAAAAAAAAAAAAAAAAGAAAATCAAAAGTTAACAATTAATAGGCGGTTTATCAGCGCCACTGCAGTACGAGCGAAGGAAACCGTCGAGGGCCGTCGTGCTGCGGGAAAGGCCGCGAGCTTACGAGCGAGTCAGCTGTCTGTCATACTGCCAAAAATGCATTTTTGTATGCTCTGTTTACTGAGCAATAAAAAGCCATAACTGTGTTCACCCACCCGATGAAAATTAATCTCCGACTCAGTTCATCTCCGGTGGGCTTTTCACCAAGTCTCACACACACAGTCAAAAACAAATTTCGTATTCTTTACCGTCCTACTTCTTCAACTTTCTCAAACTCCCTCGAAGCGGTTGAGGCCTCTTTGTGCCCTCCTCACATTCTCTTCCTTCCGCTCTGTCATTATAATCCATCTTTGTCACCTGGCTTGTCTCAGCTGTCATTACCATTCTTGCCTTGTATCGCATCCTTGGCAACACTTTGAGACAGAAAACTGCTGTTTTTCTTGCTCTCATCGCAATATTATGTGGAAGTTGCACCAGCCAAAAAATGCATAACGGAGAAGAAAAAAAAAAAAAACTTAGATAAGTCGCTCCCGAGTATGAGTCACAACAGGCAGCTAGAGCGCCCTCTAGTGGCTGGCAGGGGGAAAATAACAAACGTGAAATTATATATTTTAATATATAAGTCGCACTCTGAGTATAAGTCGCAAACCCAGCTAAAGGATGAAAAAATAAAAACATGACTTATAGTCTGGAAAATACGGTAAGTTAAAGTGCGTGGCTTTATTATGGTAACAAATGTAAAGCTACATGCTAGCCTTTGACTCTATTTCCAAGAATATTTAGTAGGCTAGCATTTTCAACTACATCTCATCCAATTGTATGTCAGGGTTTCTAGACAAATATTCTCCGAAACGTTAGATACTTCAGACACTGCAGACAAAAAGAAAGAAAAAAAAAAGCGTTAAAAAAAAAATCGGGGATTTTACTATCGGTTGCAGCTGAGCATAAGTCGCAAACCTAGCCAAAGGATAAAAATATATATATACTGTATATATATTTGAATATACTGTATATATTTGAGTATATATTTGAATATATACTGAAATTTTAATAATTTACGCTAACTTTCAAAACCTTTATTGCTATTTTCTAGCATGAAATATTACCGTGAAAATGATATTCTGAAGAAAAAAAATCCTGACACTAAATTGTTCCCTATTTTCGGAGAAAATGCAAATCTACATGACCCTCGGGTAATGGCTTCGCCTCATGCTATATTGAAATACATATTCATGTACAGACATTAATTGTATTGAAATATTGCCTGCGCGATATGCGTCCAAATGGACGCCATACTGGGCGGATAAATTGACAAGTGATACTGATCACACTCCTGTTAATGTGTGTCAGTCAGGTAGAGACGGTGAGTCGTGAACCATTAGCCCCCCCCCCCGATGGGTCTAACTGATGATATACAAGGTCGTTAGTTCTCGAATGATGTTCTCGATAGAACGACCTGTGACATAATGCTGTGAGATGATAGGTTAATGGGGTCAAAAAGCACCTATCATTTTTTTTTATTACTGAAAAATTAGTGTCTGTTTGAGTAAAGGTTTTACTCGAGTATCTTTGACATTTGATTAATTTTTTTTATTTTTTTTAATTTCGATTTGGCATCTGACGTTCACCTTTAGTTTAGATTTATTTTTGCGTTTGTGTTTAAACCTTAGATGTGTTACTGTATACGGGAGGGCCCTGGTGTAGCCGTAATGCTAGGCGAGCTATTTCTGCAGATTGAGCAGCGGATACCAAGTAGCGATGCACCAAAATTTAAACCGAAAAAATATAAACAAATAATTTAAAAAATATTATACATAAATTAATAATTGAAAAAAAATTAGTTGTCAAGCGTCTAGAAATTTCAGCATTACACGTTATGCAAATCGCCGTCCGTGGGTCTTTCTCAGACAGTATTGAAATAAGTCGACGCCGCAGACACGTTGGTGCTTATGGCGAGCCGTTTTAACATTTAAACGCCAAGCTGGATATTTATTGCAGATATCGCTAACGCGGTTTTGCCTCGTCAAAAAGTAAAAAAAATTCCGATGTCCGACAAGCCCGCGGTTTAGCTTGCGTCATCAGAACTTCATGTTTTTCGGTCGTGTTGTTTCGGTGCTAAAAGTCTTTCGGCCAAATACCGAAAATGCACAAAAATGCGGTGCAATGGGGAAACTAAGGTCCGGGGGCCGGATGCGGCGCATTCAGCGTTTTAATCCGGCCTTCCAAACTTTTCTATCATTTATTTATATTATCATTTTACTTCTGCCTGTCTAAAAGTGCCAATTTTAATTTAGAGGTTGTTTTTTTTTCTTAATAATATGACAGAAATTTGGAAACTTATCTCAAAATGTTTCTGCTGCAAACATTCCTAATCAGTAGCTGCAGGTTAAGCTCGGTGGCTTTAACCTGCGGAAAGAAAGAATTCCAAACCAATCATTAAAAATATATAATCTGGTCTTAGGGATTAGTCTCGTGGCTGGAAGATAGCTTTGAGCCCACTGTTGAAGGACTACACGGAAACTAATCTGTTCTTCCTTAAGGGCCCGTCCGTGTTTTTCCCTTATCAAAAACATTGGATGACTGTAAATGCGCAAATGCCACTAGGAACCCAGCCGTGGAGTGGAGTGGAGTGGAGTGGGAACATACGGAGTGGTATGAGTGGCTCTGTAGAGGCCCTAGAAAGGAAATGGGAAAAATCCTGAGAAGTTCAGAAGCAGACAAAACTAAATTGGCTTAGCTTCATGAAGTTATTTCGCCTTCCCATCCGAGAGGCTTCAGATCGCAGCTACAGGGAAAGACGAGAGCAAGAATAAAAAAATTTTAAAAAACCAAAATATTATTATCAGATATTACTTCTACCCCGCCTTCAACCGATCCGTTATTTGCCAGTTTCTTGTTAAACATTTACAGCATTGGACAATATGCTGCGTATCACGTAACATTCATTCCATACACGCCCTGCCGCAATGGGACTGCGCCCCCCACTTTGGGAACCTCTGCCATATAGTATGCCTTTTGCGATGCCTTATTTTTATTTTTTTTTAAGTTCATCAGAGAAATTCAACAAAAAATTATTTTTAAACTGGTAACATATATATGCTTTATTATATAATAATAATAATATAATAATAATAATAATATAAATATAAATATAAATATAAATATATCACCTACATATATATATATACAGTGATCCCTCTCCTATTGTGGTAGTTGTAAAGACCCACCGCAAAAAGGGAAAATCTGTGAAGTAAGGGCGAGATAGTTATTATATTATTGACGTATATATTTACCCTTAATATATATATATATTTATATATATATATTTAACCTCCCCCACACTGTTTTCAACCCTCCCTAGACTGCTACGACGCGGCAGAGGTTAGCGCTCAGCTGCAGGAAGGTTCTCACTTTGGGATACCTCTGCCATACAGTATGTCTTTTGTGATGTCTCCCAGAAAAAAAAAACAGCGCAAACTGTGGCTCTCGGACAGGAAGTGGTTGCAATCGTTTCCGTAGGGTTTCGTTCACAACTGTCCGATCGTCAGTATCGCGAGTCCTTCGGCTAAATTCTTTTATTAATCATAATGGGAAATTAACTGTAGGAACTTGTCAACCTGCCTAGCCCTGGTTATAAGTCAGAATCGAAAACAGCCACTTACGTCAAATCTCAATGACTCTCGTCAAACCATCGTATTATGCATCGACCAATCAAAATCCTTCTAGTACGAGAGCTCATATATTTTTTTTTGTCTGATTGCTAGATTAAACTATCACATCTCAATGACTCTCGTCAAACCATCGTATTATGCATCGACCAATCAAAATCCTTCTAGTACAAGAGCTCATATATTTTTTTTTGTCTGATCGCTAAATTAAACTATCTCATCTTTAGAAAGTTCCGGGAACACGTCCACTTTTCACGGACACACTTCAAAGGTTCATTTTAGTTCAGCTCAGGGACGATTTTCTCTACAGAATTCTGCTTTAAAACATATTTCCTTTCACTCAAAGCCAAGCTTCAAAAGACTTAAAAAAAAAATGAACCCGAGCATTTGCGGGCATTCTTTGATCAAAGACGTCACTTGTGTTTGCTCGCCTGGCTGGCCTGGCTGCAAGATAGCGTGCGTATAAAGTGAGGTGCACTCCGTTTTGACAACTTGCTCGCGGCTAAAAGATACGATTCATTCAGTATTTGCCCAACTCTATAAAGACTTTTGACACTTGACATTCACTTAAATGCTAGCTTGAGGCAACACAAGGGACAGAAACTCTAGACCAAAGGCGTTTTGGGGGGGTTAAAAATGCATTTGACCCTTCAATCCAACATGATGATTCTATACCTTTCCTACAGTTGTTTTTTTTTTCCCTTAGGCCTTCAGAGTTATGTTATTGCAAATGAAATTGACTGTACCAGCACTCTTGTGTACACATTTCTCCCTGTATTAGCTCCTGAACTCCCCTAGCAGCTTTACAGAGTTTCCCTTTTTAATTTGATTTTAACTCCTCTCCTATAGAAAATGGACATTGATGCCTGTTCCCAAGCTATTTCACCCTCCTTGTTTCAATACAATACATGCACTTGATTTTTGCGAGATGGAGAGAAACCCCCAAAATCGGCACCTTTGAGGATTGCTGTAGAAACAGTAGTACAGTAGTGTACAAATATTTTGACTTCAGTAGTTAAAGTAAAAGACAACGAGCATAATCCTTTGTTCATAAATATATATACAGTAGGGCTTCGAGATACGAGCTCCCCGAAATACTGGTTTTCCAAGTTACGAGTAAGCAACTTACGCAAGACTTTCCATCGCGATACGAGGAAACATCAAGTTACGAGCGCTCAGCCGAGCTGCATTTTTCCACTCGACACTGTCGCATTTTTAATGAAAATGTAAGCGAGAAACAGCACAAGTCTTGATCGGTTAGCGCGTCAGAATCTAGAAAGGTCGGTGGCTCAAACCCACCCAGCGATAAATATTTCAGTGGTTCCATAGTGTAGCGGTTAGCATGCCTGCCTTGGAAGCAGAGAGCAGACAGTCCGGGGTTCTTTTCCCAGAGGGACCACATACTCAGGCGCCTCCGGGGGGCAGCAGATCAGCTTTTCAACACAAGTGCGGGATCAATAAAGTTCAAATGAATTATTAATACATGAATTATTAAATACCGGAGCAGCTGATCCGTCTGTCAACAAGTCAAAATCTTTTCAGTTGACAGGCTGATTAGGAAACACGGCTATGTTTACCGAACAAACGCGTCTCACGCAGATTTCCCCCTGACGGCCAAGACGACACAGAGCGACTATCGGGCGAAAGCTGTTTTTTCCCCCCTCTCGTAAGTTGTGAAATATTGAACACGAGACTACAGAACACAGTTGATCTCTAAGACATCGCTGCTGACAGACTAGAGGTTTCTTTTTTCTTCATAGGATTTAACATTTAACAGAATGCAGTGCGCCTTTTCAGAGAGAACGCGATTACGGAACATTTGTGTCAGGCACTTTCTGTGTGTGAATGTTTTGGGAAAACTCACTTCTGACGGCTGGCTTTGAAGATAACACGCTGCCACTTTGTTGATGTCTTGTCCTCTATTAACAGGAGTCTGACTCTTCATCTTCATCGTAGAATCAAATTCTAAAGAGAGAGAGAGAGAGAGAGAGAAGAAAATGTTGGTATAAATTCAGGACAGCTGAGGGTTTTTAAAAAAAAAAAAAAAAAAGAAATGTAGTCCATAAATGACAGGACCCTGATGTAGTACCATAATACAATAGAAATAAAAAAAATATATATATATATATATATATACATATATATATATATATACACATATATATATTTATATATAT